ACAAGATCTGTGGATCAGTATCATTTTAGGAAAATGCATGTGCTTCCCTTGTATTCTCACTGGTCACAATGTGAAGGAGGAATCTTCAGTTCTAAAAAAAATAAGGATTCAGATTGTGATGGATGCACATTGGGTGTGAGTGTGGACTACAGTGATCTAGAAACCAGAATAGTAATTTATTTATGTTTTATCAATACTTTTATACCCCTGAATAATAACATTCCCTTGGCAATTTGCAAAAGAATGCCGTAATTAAAATGTAAATACAAAAACCATAGGGTTGGATTCAGACTTCATTCATACTGTTAGAGGAGGTGAGGTGACTTTTGCCACTTTCCTCTCTCCCCTTGCATCTCCCCCTGCCACCTGCTCCAGAACAATTAGGGAGATGCTGCCTGGGGCTGCAAGGTAAGTGGGGTGGGGGTGGGGGGGATAATTGTGAAAATATGACACTCCCGCACTAGCAGGATTTCTCCACTGGGATGTAAGGAGTATTTCCATGTGTGGAAGACAAACTGTGGAAGCAACCCATTATAACTAATAGCCACAATATCATAAAAGCTGTGGAAAACATGTGGCAAGATTTAAATTACTAAAAAGCCTGGGAACATAAAATAAGGCCCTTGCTTGACTCTGAAAGGCTGCATGAGAATTAGTATCATGAGGTGCCTTTGAATGTGTGTAAGAGAAAGCAAGGTGTATGTGTTGGATTAGATCATTTTTACATGGACTAAAAAGCTTGGGAACTGGTTTTGTAGGTAAAAGAAGAATGCAAAGCTAGCACTCTGTGCCCTATATCCATGGAAGCAACAGCATACTGTGGGCGATGTGACTTCGACAAACATGCTCACATATGTGCTTGGATAAAGAGTTACTGGGATAATACAGAGAAGAACGGAGATGGAGGCATATGCCCAACTTTGGAGGAGACGGTCTACACTGGAGGTCCGACTCAATATTCATTCACAGGTAAACCATGTCTCATCTACTTTGTTGGCAACATTTGCATGTAAATGTCCAAGTTGATTGTCGTCTTTTGACAATGTTTTCTCTTTATAGATCTGAAACTAGAACCTCATGTCACATATGAGTACAGGGTGGCCACATGGAACAAATACGGAAGAGGATTAAGTGAAATAGGCAGAGCTACTACTAAACAAGATGTGCCTGAAGGTGTAAGTCCACCCCAGTGGACCAAAGTAGATAACCGTGAAGACATAATATTTCTAAGCTGGAAAGAACCTCGGCAACCAAATGGTATTCTGATAAAAACTATTGTATGATCTGATGCAGAGTTGAACATAGGAAGCTGCCCATATACCAATTTAGACCATTGGTCCACCAGCTTAGCATTGCCTTCACCTATGGGTAGTGGCTCTCCAGACTTTCGGACAGGGGTCTCTCCCAGCCCTACCTGGAGATGCCTGAGTTTGAACATGGGACCTTCTGTATGCAAGGCAGATGCCCTGTCACTTAGCCACACCTTTCCCTCAGTGCTTTTGTGCCCAATGGGCTTGCTATAGAATAATAAATACTTTGCTTAAGTTCATCACCCATGTATTTGTCATGATTCCAGAGAGATTAAACCTGCATTTCATATATGTCTTCCATTAGTAGCCAGACAGCCCTCAGCAGAGAAGTGTCAGGTTGATATGATTTATCACACATAACTTCTGCAGGACACTCCAATAATGCTTTACACACTTATTGTCATGACTTGCAGATTGATAATTTAAAGTGAATGGTTTGTACAATAGGGTTGACATATTTCAAAAAAGTTGTTGAGCTCCCCCCGCCCCCAATGCATTTTAAAAAACCTGAGGTTTTGAGCTATTTTTTAAATGAAATTTGCCAAAAACTGCACTTATGACATGGGCTGCCAGCGCTTCCCGCCCAAATGCTGTTTGCAAGTGCCAAATACCAAACTTATGGCAACCCTGCAGCAACTAATGATACTGTTCAATATCGCCATGTGCTACATCAGAAAAAGTATGTTTGAACCCACATGATTTGATGCAAGAGGCATTTTTAGATTTGGTCTGCTTTCAGACTTGCTCACAGGAAACCTCTCTTTTGAATGCCCCATGTTCAAATTGACAAGGCTTTCACACAGGCCTCATTCAATTCAATGTTAAATGGTGATTTAGTGTTATATGAGTGATATATTGCAATGTAATTAAGTATTTTGTCCCGACTTCAAACTTTGGCTCATCCCTTGCTTATTGAAACAAACCATCTTCATAAACCATGGTTTGGAGCCGGCTTGTTTCAGTAAACTGTACTCAAGACCAACCACAGTATGTCCAGGTTTGGCTGTAGCTCTGAACTGCAGCAAAATCTTTCCTTCTCCTTACAGCCATACTGAAGGAAGAAAAGGATGGAAGGAGTGCATGACCCCATCTTGTTCATGTAACACTAAGCCAGGCTTCCTCAACCTTGGCCCTCCAGATGTTTTTGGCCTACAACTCCCATGATCCCTAGCTAGCAGGACCAGTGGTCAGGGATGTTGGGAATTGTAGTCTCAGAACATCTGGAGGGCTTAGGTTGAGGAAGCCTGCTCTAAGCCATAGTTTCATGTTATGTTTGAACAAGGCTAGGTTGTCCTTAATTTCACCTAAAGTCACAAAGACTTTCTAGTTGGATTTGTACCTGTTTTGACTTTCCTTCTCTCCCTCACACCCTACCCACAATTTAGTACTATTCCTGATTGCAAGCTGCTGCCAGGCACGACTCTTTCCCTATAATATTTTGTGAAAATAGTTTGTCACATGAATTCCTTGTATATATTTAATCCAAAAACATTATTTCCCTCTCTCCCCTTATGACAAGGTATCATCATTCATTACATTATTCTCCGAAATGGGATTGAGCGTTTCAGAGGAAAGGAACTGAGTTTCACAGACACTGGTGGTATTCAACCATATCAGGAATATTCATATCAACTGCGTGCATGCACTGTTGCTGGTTGTGCGGACAGTAGCAAGGTGGGTTAATTCTTCACTGGAGGGTGAGAGCAGCTGTGGGGAGATACTACAACAATATATTTGGACAAGGAAGCTTCAGCATTGGTTATCCAGAAAGGCCCTTCCAGATATGATTTACTTGTTATTTTTTCTGCTGTACATATTCTCTTCATTGTCAATGTTTCTAAGCTTCTTCTCATTCCCTTTGGGTCAATCTGTTCCTTCAGCTGGAAGCACCAGCCAGGAGACCTTTGCTGCCCCTCCCTTCCACCACGCAATAGTACACAGTCTGTAGCAGCCAGCAGAGAGTGGCTAACACCTCTCTTACCAGCTGATGTATGAGTGGCCCTCTGCCAACCAGGAAAGGAAGTAATCTATTGGAAGCTGAGGAAGGGCCAGCAACTCTTTCTAATGGCACCCCAGCAAGTGGCAAGGGGAACAGTGGCATCAAAGTTTATGCCAATGTTTACTGGTGATAAAAAGCCCGAAGAAATGAGGCTGTTAAAATGCAGAGACACTGATGAACCATATGGAAGGGTGTTATCAAGAGTTCCATGGCAAGACAGCCTGCTCTCCAGATTTTCCTCTTGCCTGGCGCTATGCACTGAAGGCAAAACGTTGTGAATCTGCTTTGATAAATTGTGCACCTAGACTCATGCGTAAACATATTCAAGGTCAGATTTTGCTGGGGTGTGTGTGGAATAAACCAAGGGGAGAAAAGTAACGTACTACAGAGCCATGGTAATGATATGCCAGAGCAAACAACAACATTTTAAACTAGAAGTGACATTCTCATTGATCAAGGTATCTTCTGTACTATTACAATAAATTGCTGTCTAATTCATGTGTGTTCAGGTAGTTGCAGTCACTGTCCAAGGAGTCCCAGAGACTGTTCAGCCACCAACAGTTACAGCTTTGAGTGCAGTGGCATTGCGTTTGAGCTGGATGGCACCCAGGAAGCCAAATGGTATCATCCGAGAATACCAGATCAGTCAAATGGGGAAAGGTCATATATATACTGACACTGCAGGCAAGATGCAGCATACAGTATCAGGTAAGGATAGAAAGCTCTTTAAGCAAAATGCTCCCTGGTTATTTAGCATTCAGACTTTTTAAATGTTGCAGTCTTATATATTTGATGGTAAGTCCCTTTGAGGATAAGACAGGGGTTTGGTTTGCCCACATAGAATGATGTAGTGGAATCCTGAGGTGCCAGAGTAGATGGTACAATTTCAGACTCCAGGTGGAGGTTGCCTGTTTCATAGCACTGCTACACTTTTATATCCTTGCAAGTGGAAAATCTAGCATAGCTGGGAGACATTTTCTGCCCAGCTTTTTCACTCCATACTGTATTCTTCTTGCAGGGAATTGGGCTGTATGTGTTCATGTAGGAAGGCATTCGAAAACATGATTCCTGAAGTTACAATCTGATGTGGTATATTCCACTCTGCCATCTAATAACTTTTCCTGTGACATTTCACTTACATCATACACTGCATAGAATTGAGGTGTAAGAACTAACAGTGTTTACACTTGGGCAATGTTTCCCATTTCAACAGTACTTTAGGGCAGGTTTTGGGTGGTAAACTCAACATGGTTTTGACTCTTCACCATGATAAACTCTTCACCATGGAAACACGTGTTGATTTTGCCACATAAAGCCCTCATGCTGAGGGAGGGTGGAAGCTTTTGAACATAAGATTAAAATAATCACATTTCCTCCTTAAGGTACTGTGTCCCAAATCATGAAAATGAATACCTATTTTTTCTCTCTCTCCCCTAATATTGGTCTCCTAGAACAATATGATTTATTATGCTCTTATCTCATTCCAAATTGGAATGTGAAACATAAGATTTGATACTGCCATCAGCCCCTCCCCAAATTACATTCTTTTACATCTGTATGAATAGTTGGGGTATTGTTTGTTGCTAGCGTTTTGTGCTTATAGATGTTGGGTTATCAGTGGTGCATCATTTACCTCTGGATGCTCCTTGTATTACATACCTGCAGTGGACACCAGTGATTTTCCTGTAGACAGAGTGTGTGTGTGTGTGTGTGCGTGTGTGTGTGTGTGTGTGTGCGCACACACACACACACACACACACAGCCATACTCTTTACATTTAAGAATATCTGAATATTAAGTGGCATATAAATATCTGAAATTATAGATACATGTAGTGCTTTTTTCTGTGGGGACGCAGGAGTATGCATACCCCTAAACATTTTTTGAATCTAAGTTTGGCCTCATTGAGGGGCAGTATTTCAATATGAGTAGGAAAATGCCCCCAAACATTTTTTTGAGTAGGAAAATGCCCCCAAACATTTTTTTTTAGAAAAAAACCACTGGATACATGTGAGGTTCTTTTTTAAAAATTGTTTTGTTATAATTTCCAAATTCCTTTGATGAAGATGAAGCAAAACTGTCGGGCACATCCTGAGATGTTGATCCAGGGGACAGTCATAATTTGTCATTGGACAAACAGATTTACTGTTCTCCCTATATTACATAATCTGCCTAGTAGTAGTAGTAGTAGTAGTAGTAGTAGTAACAACTGTAGCAGCAGCAGCAGTACATTCGCAATACACTTCTATTAACATTACATTGTCAGTCTAGCGTTGAAATGTCATGTTTAGCCAACTTCCGATGCCAATTAAAATATTTTTATTCTCTTGGGCTTTTTTGTGAGGACTGATGAGGAATATTCTGTTGAATGCATCTGTGTCTCTAATGTTGTTGGGGAATGTTTGGTATTTGCTGCGCAAACTCTTGATAATGGCTGTCACCTCTTGTTTTAACCCCCCCCTTAATTGTTAGATTTTTATTTTTTGTTACAGCTTTTAAATCATTGCTACCTGCCCTGGGATCATGAAAATGAACAGCATGATATAAATCAAACCAACCAACCAACCAACCAATCAATTAATTAATTAATATCCAGTGTTAAGTGATGGCTTTAAAATACTAGACAGAGCCTCACTGGATGAGACCAAAAATCCATGTAGTCTAGCAGTTAGTTCCCAATGGTGGTTGGCAATATCATAGAATTAGAGAGTTGGAAGGGACCAGGAGAGTCATCTAGTCCAGCTCCCTGCAATGCAGGGATCTTTTACCCATTGTTGGACTTGAACCTACGACCCTGAGATTAAGAGTCTCACAGTGTACCAACTGAGCTATCTATGCTTCTGGCAACCTTAAAAGCAAAGCATGAAAGGCAACAATCCACTTCATGTTGCTGTTTGCCATGCTGGCCTGGACTAGGAATTTCCTTTGTCCTGAAGTAGAATTGCGAAAGCTGTTAAGTTGTGGGTGAACATATCAGATGACACAGTGATTCTTCAAACAGCTCTTGTTTATTCACAGGCCAGGACAGAACTGAACTGAAGGGTTCAGTCAGCCTGCTTATATAGAGCTCCAGTACAATGTAACTGTAACAATTTTCTAAAACTATCCAATCACTGAATGTCACTTTCGATCCCTTATTTGCATAACTATCTACAGTATCCCCCTGCTGGCCCAGGGTGAGAACTTCAGTACATAACAAAAGCAATTGCCAATGAATATTTCTGTTGTCTATAGCTTTAGTTAAAACAACCCCACTCTTCCAATGGCACTTTTTTTGTATTCAGCAAGAACCTCCCCTTACTGAGCAAGGCAAGAGTGCCTTTTATTCCACCTCAAGGTGGAATGGTGCTTTTTCTATGTGATAATTACTACACTCTAAATTCATGGTGTTCACTAAAACAACTGTACTTACTTCACATATCTCAGATGTTTGAACTGGCCATCGTTTCAGGCCCCCATGAACCTGTGTTTTGATTTTTCTCATCTTCAAAAAACCTCTGCTGTTCCCAGAGCAACAGTTGAACGTTAATGAAGCTGTAGCATTAGCGTTCCCTGAGACTTTCAATCCGAGTGCCTTACAAATTGCAGATGAGGAGGCTTGCACCTTGCCACGGCACCATTGTCTCGCTGCTTATTTTTAATTACATCAAAGCTTTGGAAACATGATCCCATAAATGCTTTGTGGGAATAGCGGTGAATGTGCTCGTCATGTGAAATCCATAAATTGCTTATAATCCTCTCAAGATGTTAAAAAAAGCATTAAGTAATTGAAGACAGGAAGTCCTCAGTTAATTATTTAGAGGTGTTATCAATGCTTTAAGTAAACTGAAGCATTTTCTGCTATCGCATGGAGTAGAATGCCACTGGGAGCGAGGGGCACCAGCCATCATCTTCTCATATTCTCTAATGCAAACAGCCTATGGCAGCTTGTCAATAAAAGACCTTTTTATATCATTTATTAGTGAACACTTCCAGTACTCTGTACAGAACAATTTGGATGACAGTTATGGCATTGTTTCACTTTGTGTTACTACTCCTTTACAAATGGTCCTGCTAATGCAAGCGGGGGCGGGGGGATGGGGAGGGAGACTAAAATAATTAGGGGGCATTCTATTAAAAGAAAGCTAAGACTGCCCTCTTCAGCAGCAAGAACAGGAATTCATTTTCCCCAGTCTGTTTTTGCATTTCAGATGCTTCCAGAATAATGGAATTTCTGAAAAGATTCCTCTCTCCGTGTTACTAAAGTTATTTCATAACAGGCACATCCACTGACATACCTTTCATTGAACATATTTTGTATGTTGTGCAGAATATTTTGTGACTGAAATGGTTAGAGAATTTCCTAAAAGTGGAAATTCCCAAGGGGGATAGCTGTCTGTTGTGCAAAAAGAACAATAATTCCTGTAGCACCTTAAAGATTTAACATGTATGTTGTGGCACAAGCTTTTATGGGTTATATCACCCATTTGTTTGTTTGTTATTATTATTTCCATTTCTTAGTCAACAATATTTATTAGTGAACAATATTATTTAGACAAAAACAGTGGCAACAATGCAGGCAACTTCCCATGCAAGGTTTCACTGTAGTAAATTTGTAAATTGGGCAAAGTTGTGGATGCCTGGGCTGGAATAATATATGCAAACTGATGCAACAATATCCTGAGAACAGCAAACTCATGCATTTGTTTTAGACTGGGACTTAACAAGGCCTGATATTTGAAGGGATAAAGGTATGATTTCTGCCCTCACACCTACATTATTAGTTTTTGTCTTCAGATTTCTTCCAGAACTACCAAATTTCTTTCTAAACTCATTTACAAAGCAGTTTGAGGATTTGCCAGCAGTACTTTAAAAAGAAAGAAGGGTGTGTGTGTGTGTGTGCTCATTTAGACATGATTCCAAACCAAGATGCGTCAGGCTCACAGCCTTCCTTCTTCACCTCTGGCACAAGTGTGAGGAGGAGCTCAGCAAAGTTTGCACAACTGACTAAACTGTGGTTAATCAAAAATGGAAGTTGAAACTTACCTCATTTTTATGGTCATGCCAAAGGAGTATATGAGCTGGAGGCTTGTTTTGGCTTTTGATGCTAAACCATGAATTTGTGTTATATCTGAACCCCAAGCAGAGAGCAAGAGCGAGTGAAAATACAGAAGAAAAGGTCTCCTGTGCATGCACAATGTTTTCTTCCAATTTATTATTCAAATGAATATGCAGTCTTTAAGAAATGCTGCTTATTTGTTTTTATTTATATATTGCAACATTTTCACTCGGCCTTCTTTACAAATTCCAGATGGGTTTTGGAATTATACCCATGGAGGAGTACATTCAGCAAACATTTTGGCAGAATTGGCCATCCATTGGTCTCTTTGTTGTCCTTTGCGAAAAGACACACAGGCAGGACAACTCTGTTTTTAACAGCTTTTGCTAATTCAAACTTCCAGATCATTCCAAAACAATTCCTAAAGAGGCAAGCCTTATCCTGAAAGAGGACCCGAATGAAAAGCAAAGTGGTGATCTTTATGAGTGGAAAGACCCCCATTTCTTCTCCTGAATACCCATGAGGTGATCATCAACTGCCCCCCAGATTCAGCTCTCTCCCACCTATGGCGTTGGGACAATAATAATGAAAAACCACACCCATACAGTCTTCTTTTTTTACACCATTTTTTCCCGTCTGTACTAAATGGTTGTAAATAAATAGTGCTTTCTAATAAATATTTACTTTTAAAAGTGAATGAACATGACTCCCTTTAGGGGAGTTGAAATAATCTGTTGCCACAGTAATCTTTTCTATCATGAAATACTGTTAAATGTTTGGCTCCCATCCATGTCTTTCCCTTTCTAGCCTGCAACTATCATTTTTGCCCGTTTGCTTTTATGCTAAGTATATAGAGATTTCCACCACCACCACCACCACACTTCAAGTTCATGATTAGGTTACAATCCAGACTGTCTCTCTGACTCCTCTGTTTTTCAACGCTTTGCATCCTGTTCAATTTGCAAGCAGCTTGAAGCCTTGGGTGTCATTCATTCATTCATTCACTGTATTTCCCTTCCGATGGGCCTGTTGTGTATTGCTGTTCTGTATGTATGACCATTTTGAAATCCACAACAACAATGAAGCTGTCATCTAGCCGTTTTTAGACAAAGGGTTCTGCCCAAAGGATTTTTTCTCCCCTTGTCATAGAATTGCATTGTTTTTCTTAAAGTACTTACAATACTAGTTTAATGAAAACATTTTGCAAAGGGTAGAGAAGAAGAGATAAGAAAGAGCGGGACCCATCACTGACAAGGACAAGGAAGATTAGAGGAAAAATACAAAATGTGAACAGAAGTCTAATAGTGGTTTCTGTGCTCGTAAAAGGAGGAAATCTGGTGTCTTTCCCCTCCTTGATACTGCGTTTCGAGACTTATGCATTAGAATGAATGCATATTTACATATTTATAACCCATTTTCAAAGATGCAGTTGGGTCTTGAAATATTTTGTGGTGGAGGAATGCAGAGAAATATAAAGGTGGAGCCAAGGGAGGTAATTGTAAGTTAAGGATAGAGAAATAGGAAATGACTTATAAAACCGATACTGACTAGGGGAAGAGGTTGTATTTTGGAATGGATTCCAATGCACAATTAATGAGTATAAAATACAGCAGCAAGTTCTGTTTAAAATCCTGCTAGACCCTGGAACTAAGAGTTGATATATGTGTAAAGGTAAAAGTAAAGGGACCCCTGACCGTTAGGTCCAGTCGCGGACGACTCTGGGGTTGCGGCGCTCATCTTGCTTTACTGGCTGAGGGAGCTGGCGTACAACTTCTGGCTCATGTGGCCAGCATGACTAAGCCGCTTCTGGCGAACCAGAGCAGCGCACGGAAACGCCGTTCACCTTCCCACCGGAGCGGTACCTATTTATCTACTAGCAGTTTGACGTGTTTTCGAACTGCTAGGTTGGCAGGATCAGGGACCGAGCAATGGGAGCTCACCCCATCGCAGGGATTTGAACCGCTGACCTTCTGATCGGCAAGCCCTAGGCTCTGTGGTTTAACCCACAGCGCCACAAAATATAATTCACGGATGGCATTTATTGCTAGCAAGATGTGGCAATGTCCAGTGCCATAGACAGCTTTAAAAGTGGGGACTGAAAAAGTGGCTGTTGACTATCACTAAACAAACAAACAAACAAATAAATATGTGATATGCCTTTGAATACATATTGCTAGAGAACTAACAACATGAGAAAAGCTTTTGTCTTGGTGTTCTGTTTCTGGGCTTCCGGAAAGCCTCAAACTGGTCACTGTTGGAGTTCACCAGATGTTGGACTAGAGGAACCTTTGCTCTGATCCAGCAAGCTCCCCTTAAGCATTTATGGGTGCTGGGTTGGCATTCATTCAGTGCTGCCATTGTTACCCTGACAGAACACTCAATGTATCCCACTTTGAGCATATCTCTTTGAGTGCTTTGGGAATCTGGGTGATCATTGTGTTGGGAAGGAGAGAGAAAAGACTATGACCAGCAAATGCATTTCTGACCATAGCATAATAATTAACAGAAACAACTTATAAAACACTTTTTTTTTTATCTAGTAGGCCTAATTTGAGCCACACAACTCAAATTGATTAATTTTTGGTGTATACATTTCAACAACCCCGAAGTGTGAGTTTCAGCAGCAGAGATGTTGTAAAAGTGTGGTGATTCCCCATTGAAGGGGATGACAGTGGCTAGCCAGACCTTGTTGCTGATTGAGAAGGGATCCCCATGACAGTTCAAGCTTCAGTGTCCCAAAAATGTAGGTCTTCCACTGATAATACCCCATACAGTACACTTCATAGGGAAACTTTGCGGGTGGAATTC